CACTCAGGTATGGGTCACTCAGGTATGGGACACTCAGGTATGGGACACTCAGGTATGGGTCACTCAGGTATGGGACACTCAGGTATGGGTCTGCTAATTCAGACCTCTCGCTTGTTTTATGTTATTGAGTTTAGTCTGCAGTGAAGTGTGTGCCTCTGGATGTATACCCGCTGACCCCATTAGCAGCTGACGTCACACTGCCTTGTAGGTTTGCATGAAACCGGGGAGTGCATTTTCCCCTTGACTTACACCACTATGCCAAGTCCACCTTTCTCAGTCATAGTCTATGTATTTATGAAGTAAGAGATGTTCTGTGAGGGTCAAATGGAGTGCTGCATGGAAAAATTTCTTTTAACAAAACCTATGTTGGAGAAGGACTTCTGGTGTGGCGTTGCCAGTTAATATGGTAAACTGCAACGTCGGTGTGGGCCGTTAAGGCCAGCAGTTTTAACTCACCAGCTGCTCCTTGGAAACCCTGTTCAGGGTCGCTTTGAGTTGGATCCCGACTCGATGGCACTTAGCAGCAACAACAGCGATGTTGGAGAAACAGAATATTGTATAGGCTCAGGGTATCTCCCAGGGTTTGTTAATGATGGCGGCGGGTTTGGCACTGTTCTTGTATTACTTGCCATTGAACAGATTCTAAGTGGTGGTGACACCGAGTATGCAGAGTAGAATGGCTCCATAGGGCTTCAAGGCTGTGACCTTCTGGAAGCAAATCAGCAGACCTGCTTTTGAGGGGCCTCTAGGTGAGTTTGAACCGTCATCCTTTCTGTGAGTAGCAGAGAGCATGTCTATTGTGCCATCCAAGGACCTGGTTTTAGCCTAAGTTCATAAATTCTCTGGTATTCTTCCCTCCAAGAGGTAAAACTGAATTCTTCCTCCCCTAGGGCATGGGCTGGACTGAGTGACTACCTGCTCATAACTGGTGTGTGGAAAGGACAGCAACAGGTGAAGGATAGCACATTCATCCCAGAATCATTGGTACCATGCATATCCTAATGTGATGGAAAGAAGGCACAGCCACTCTGTGGTCTTCTACAGTATCCGCAACTGCAATCCAGTCTCGAGAAATGTCAGACAGACAAAATGCCTTACAAGTGTTCTTCCCTAGTGGCCAGACTGAAAGACAAGGAAAGAACGAGGCATTGGGAAGAAGTTAGACCCTTACAGTGTGTCTTGTCTGTGTGACATCAGAGCAGTCAGAGACGTGACATTGAACTGCAGTGTTGTATCCCAGATGGGGTCCTGGAACAGAGAACAGACATTGGTGAGAAACCCGAGGAAATCAGGGTAAAATCTGCAGGTAATAGTATTGTTGTTGGCTGTTGCTGTTGCACTTAGACAGACTCACAGAGACCTGTGCACACAGAACAAAACACAGTTGTGGTTACGTTGATACCACGGTGTCAGTCCATCTCGTTGGGAGGCTTCCTCGTTTTTGTTGACCCTCCACTTTACCAAGCATCATGTCTTTTTCCAGGGACCAATCCCTCCTGAAAAGATGCATAAGTATGAGAGACGAAGTCTTACCATCATCACTTGTGAAGAACATTCTAGCTGTACTTGTTCGAACATAGATTTATTTGTTCTTCTGGCAGCCATGGTATTTTCAGTATTCTTCTTCAGCCACATAATTCAAATGCATCAGTTCTTCTACAGTTTTGTCTAACTTTGACGTGCAAATGAGGTGATTGAAAATACCAAGGCTTGCATCAGGCACACCTTGGTTCTCAAACTGACATCTTTTCTCTTGAGCATTGTCGTCTTGTGCAGAAGATTTGCTTAATGCAGTAGATTGTTTGTTTTATTGACTGCTGCTCCCATGAGCATTGATTGTGGATCCAAGTAGAATGAAGGCTTAGACAACTTTAATCTTTTCTCCATTTATCATGATGTTATTTATTGTTACAGTTGTGAAGATTTCCATTTTCTTTACATTGAAGTGCAATCCATAGTGAAGGCTGTGGTCTTTGATCTTCATCAGTAAATATTTTAAGCCCTCTTTGCTTCCAGCAAGCAAGGTTGCATCACCTGCATATCTCAATTGTTAATGTCTTCCTCCAATCCTGATGCCACGTTCTTCTTCATAAAACCCAGTTCCTCAGATCACTTGCTCAGTTTGCCTTTTAAATTAGTATGGTATAAGAATACAGCCCTGACACACACCTATTCTGATTTTAATCCTTTCGGTACCCCCTTGTTCTCTTTAATGACTAACTCTTGGTGTATGTACAGGTTCCTCATGAAAACAAGTGATCTGCAATGTTGTCCATAGTTTGCTATAATCTACACAGTCAAATGCCTTTGCATAGTCAATAAAGCACAAGTAAACATCCTTCTTGTATTCTCTGCTTCCTGCCAAGATCCAGCTGACATCAGCAGTGATATCCCTTCTTTCGTAGTGTTTTCTGAATCCAGTTTGAATTTCTGGCAGCTCTCTGTGGATGCACTGCAGCAATTGTTTTTGAATTGTCTTCAGCAAAATTTTACTTGCATGTGATATTAATGATACTATTCAGCAGTGATTTTTGCATTCTGGTGGGTCACCTTTCTTTAAAATGGGCACAAATATGGATCTCTTCCCATTACTTGGGTGGGCAACTGTCTTCCAAATTTCTTGGCAAAGATGAGTGAATGCCTCCTGTGCTGCATCAGTTTGTTGATAGATTTCACTTTGCGTTCCATCAATTCCTGGACCTTTGTTTTTCCCCAGTGCCTTCAGTGGAGCTTGGACTTCTTCCTTCAGTACCATTGGTTCTTAATCATATGCTACCTCTTGAAAAGATTGAACATTTACCAGTTCTTTTTGATACAATGACTATGCATTCCTTCTATTTTATTTTGATGCTTTTTGTATCATTCAATATTTTGCCCCTAGAATCTTCCGATATTGCAAATTGAGGCTTGAGAAATACTGACCGTGTTCTTCCCTTTTTTTCTACCCCTAATTCCAGGCCTTCATACATTTCGTTGTAATACTTGGCTTTATCTTGTTGAGCTGTCTTTCGAAGTGTTCCATTCACCTCTTTTATTTGCTCATTTCTTCCATTCGCTTTAGCTTCTCTATGTTCAAGACTAAGTTTCAGAGTCTCTTTGTCAACAAGAGCAAAATAAGATTTTGAATACATCCCACTTAAATCTAGAGACCATCTCAGGAACAGATTTGATGCATGCCATTCTAATGACCGAAGTCCAGAGGAACTGTGGGATGACATCAAGAACTCCAGACATGAAAAAAACAAGAGGCCATTAAAAAGACAGGTGCTAAATAGTCTTGTAGCAGTGTTCATTACTTAGTTTTGATCATTGTACCGTAGTTAGCTAAGGGAAATGGATGAAAGATACATGGAGCTCTCTATGCTGTTTTTGTAAATCTTCTGTAAGCCTACAATTATTTTGAAATAAGTTTTAAGAAATCGAATACATGTAAAGTGTCACATAGATGTCTAGCAGTACTGCTATTTTATTAGAAAAAAGTGGTATTTTCTGTAGTGTATTCAAGGGCAGATAGATAGTACAGAAAATCTATAATCAGCATAATAAAAAATCAGATTTATCTGATGACATTTTGCTGCCATGTGAAATTTTTACTTAATTTTCTTTGTTACCATTTCAGAGCACTTATTCTATTATAAGTTTTTAGTGTGTTTGTTCTTCTGGCAGATCTGCTATTATCCTGTTCCTTTATTCCATGTTCAGTTTTAAATGTGCATATGTAACGTGCACTTTTTACTTAGCTGTGGGGGAGGAATGACAGATCAGAACAGTTGAGGTGGAACCTTGTGAACAAAATTTAAATGTTCAAGTTTGATAAATGATGACATTGGATAACTGGTCATGGTCACATCGATTCTGACTCTAAGCAACCCGTGTGTGTCCGAGGAGAACTGTACTCCCTTGGATTTTTTTTAAATGGCGTATTTAATTTGTTGTTGTTGTTGAGAGTGTACACAACAGCAGATACACCAGTTCAACAATACATACCTGTACATTTCAGTGGTATAAATTACTTTGAAGTCCTGCAATAATCCTCACCCTCCTTTTCCTCACAGCCCCCTAACTTTCTCATCTAACCTTTTGCATTGCTCTTGTCAGTTTGGTCCTATTTGTTCATTTCTTTAAAAGACCACATGCCCAAGGCTTAGTGTTTCACTAACTAAGCTAAACTCTTATCTGGTTAAAGGAAGACATCAGAGGGTATTTTTAATTTAAAGTTTAAAGATGATCTCAGGGCAAAAGTCTTGGGGTGTCATCTTGTCTCTCTGGTTCCAGAAAGTCTGGATTCTATGAAAATTGGCATTCTATTCCACATGTTTCCCTTTTGAGCATCATTCAGAACAGTCCGTGCTGATATCTAAGATCCAGCCAATTCTTTTGCTCTCATGGAAAAGGAGTCAGTTGTTCACTCCTTAGGTTTTTCAATAGTAGTTTTTTAAAAAGTAGATCAGTAGTCCTTACTTCTGAGTTACCTCTGGGTAGACTGGAGTCTCCAATTAAAGCAAATAAGTCTTTTTTTTTTTTTTTAAGTTTTTATTGTGAATTAATGTAATATGTGATAGTTTACATGGAAGAACACCAGCTTTGCCTTCATCCTACTGTATTTCGTATTATTGCAATGATTACAATCCCCTCCATGCATCATCAAACAACAAAAGGCTACACCCTGCAAGCCTGCCTCCTACCCCCAGCCATCAGCACACAGCCCCTCTCTCCCTCCCTGAGTCCAGAGTTCCCAGCAGCTCCATCTCTCCACATCATCTCTGCCTCCATTTCTGGCGTGACTGCATCTCTGGGTAGAGTCACACACTCTGGTCTTCTCACTAAAGCAAATAAATCTTTTAAACATGATAAATATAATAATGACATTAGAACAGCAAGCAATTATGGAATGGTAGAAATCTAGCTCTATTTTAAGCACTTTGTTGTTCTACTTGTCATTGTTAGGAGCCATCGAGTCGTTAACGACTCATAGCGACCCTATGCACAACAGAACGAAACACTGTCCAGTCCTGGGCCAACCTCATAACTACTGCTATTTTCTACTCATAGGGACCCTGTGTAGAGTTCCTGGTATTACTGGCATGGTGCTGTAGGATAGGCACTGGACTCCAAGGTCAGTTTCAACCACAGTGTTGGCTGTTCAAACTCACCATTAACTCCTTGGAATTCCTATACAGGGCTTCTCTGAGTCAGAACTGACAGAACAGAAATAGAGTTTCCAAGGAGCGGCTGTGTTTAAACTGCCGACCTTGCAGTTAGCAGTTCAGTGCTAACCCTACAGCACCATTCCAGTACTTTACACATATCATCTATTTAATCCTTAAAACCTATGAGGTAGGCACCACTTTTATCACCATTTTACACATAAGGAAATTGAGACACAGAGAGGTGTAACAGTTTCCTCAAATTTTTATGACACACAGAGCATCAATTTTACCCTATTTTTGAGAATCCCCATTGCTGGTTTCGTACCATAATGTCTATCTACTAAAGTAACACTCAGGTATCCCCCGTGGCATGTTGAAGACTGTAGGCTCCTATGTGAGCAATTCCTTAAGCCACTTTTCTATAGCACCCGGGTCCCAGATGTGTAAAGTACTGGTTCCATTTAGACTCTGCCCCCACAGTGATGTTCAGGATCTCCGTCACTGAAGTGTAGCACGTTGCCATTTCTGCAGTGATAGCACATGCTTTGCATGGAAAGGACAGGATACAGATGCGGCAAAGTGACGTGCCAAGTCTTGGTTTGTGGTGAACACCAAGAAATACTTTGCTTTAAATGAACTGGTGTTCTATTCTTGCAGAGACTCTGTCCTGTGAAGGGAGAGAAAATGCCGGGACCTCTTGAAGTCAGCCTTCCCCACCATGCTTTTCTGAGCCCTGTAGCTCCTCCGAATGCCTCTTCATTCACACTTACCTTTCTCTGTGAGGTCTGTCCTGTCCTCTCCTTCCCTGTGTGTTTATATTTCATGGCTCATTCCAGCTGACACATTGTGTTAGTGCGATCACACAGATGAGAAGGAGCAAGAGCTCTGGGAGTGTTGTTTCTCATCCTCACAGGTCAACAGGCATATGTTCAAAGATAGCATCCCTGGATGGCTCTGCTTGGGGCATAATTGATCAGTATCAAGTTTGCAGGGCAAACTTGTTCATTTCACTCACAGACAGCTGACTTGTTCATTTCACTCACAGTGTGCTGATTTCATATGCAATGTGGGCTCATATCTTAGGGCTCAGCATCTAAGATATATATTAAGCTGTCAAGAGACTGGCAATAAAGGAATGAATGGTTTATAATGTGATCATCTGTGCCGTGATAACCAACATCTGTGTTTTCGAATCAAATAAAAATACATTGTGGTTATTATCCTTTCACCCATCATTAATAAATATTATTTCCTGTTAGAAGTGATGAAAATATTTTCTCATAAAACCCTTATTTGCAAACCCATCTCTAGTATAGCTTTATAGTCTTTAACAAGTACACTCTGTAGTCTCCAATGTTTGGACACTCATAGCGCATTTCAGACATTCTTGAATTAAGTAATGCCACTTTGCCAGCTCCATTAAAATGTTCTCACTTTTGTGGCATAGTCACATGGAGGAAAAGTAGGTAATGTGCATTAACGCTGTTGTTGTTGCAATGTGTCGTCAAGGTGGTTCCAGCTCATAGTCTCTCTGTATAGGATTTCTGAGGAGTAGCTGGTGGGTTTGAACTGCTGAACTTACTTTTATAAAATCTTAAAGATAAATTCACTATTAAAGTAAGATATAAAAAATCAAATACACCTATGTTTCACTGTTTCCTTCTATGACATTTTGCACTGAGGACAAAAGTAAAAAATCTACCAGAGGACTATTTTGTGCCTTAACTACATGTGTCTGGCAGTAATGAATGCTGCTGAGAGAAGCAAGGCAAAGTGGACTTCTGGTTGTGATGGTTATGGTGTTGCATCATCTTGGCTGGGCCAGGATTCTCAGCTCTTTGTGTGGGGGTTTAAAAAAAAACTCTCAAGCAGCCATTGGACTGCAGGCAACCTGGAGAAAGACTTGGGAAGATTCTCAGGTGGTATCGCTGGTAGTCCAGGCCCCACATGGGTCCATAGCCAGGCCCGGAAAGCCTATGCTTAGGCCATAGTGAATGATATTGCAGAGGGAGTTCTGCCAACAGCCAGGCCCTGTTAGGGATAGCTGCTAATAGGGACAGCTGCTGACAGGCTTTGGGACGCCTTCTACCATGTGTCTACGATGCCTTGGCCCAGCCACAGGAGGTGCAGGGTGATGGCAGGATCAATGTCAGATCGCAAGCAAGCACTGGGAGGCCATGGTGGGAAGCAGGGGAGGCAATGGTAGGGGGACTGTGTGAAGCTGTGAGGCAGGGTCAGACAGAGGATGAGCAGGGTTCCCACTCAGGGAGGGTGGTGGGAGGCACAGGGTAGCAGATGACCTACTACCGCTACCATCCTGAACCCCTGCAGGCTCCATGGTTGTGGGGAGGGATGTGGGGTGGGGGTGGGGCTGCCTCACAACACACACAGCATTGTTGTTAGCCGCCATTGAGTCGGCTCTGACTCACAGTGACCCTATGCACAACAGAACTGAAGCATGGCCCAGTTCTCCACCTTCCTCACAATTGTTATTATGCTGGAACCCACTAGGAGCACCCAATGGGCAGTGAGCAACTGGGGTTGCACCCATGCCAATGATGGGACACGGCTCCCAACTCTCGCACAATGCTGATTTTGAATAAAGACCTGGTCTTTGGAACCTACCTACATTGATAAGTGGAGTCCTGGAATGGCGCTGTGGGTTAATGCGCTGGACTGCAAAGTTGCTTTGAACCTCAAGGCCAATGTTTCAAGCTCACCATCCACTCCTTGGAAACCCTATACAGGCTCGCGATGGGTTAGAACCAACTCGACAGCACTTAAGAACAACAACAACAACATATTGATAAACGAGGAGGTGGTGTTCCTGTCGATGTTAGGCATCGTCAGGTTATCTCCAACTCACAGTGACCCTATTCACAACAGAGCGAAAACATCCTGGTTTTCTGCCACCCTCACAATTGTTGTTATGTTTGAGCCCATTGTTGCTGCTGCTATATCAGTCCATCTCGTTGGGGGTCTTCCTTGCTTGCGCTGACCCTCCACATTAGTTAGCGTGATGTTCTTGTACAGGGACTGGTCGCTCCTGATAATATGTCCCAAGTATGAGAGACAAAGTCTTGCTTCCTGAATTCTAAGGAGCATTCTGGCTATACTTCTTCCAAGACTTCTTCTGGAAGTCCATGATGTATTTGCTATTCTTCCCCAACATGATAATCCAAAGGCACCTAATCTTCAGTCTTCTGTAGTCATTGTTCAGTTTCCACATGCTTATGAGGCAATTGAAAATATGGCTTGGGTCAGGTACACCTTAGTCTGCAAAGTGGCATCTTAAATACTTTAAAAGACATCTTTTGCAGCTTATCTGTTGGATGCAATAAGTTACCTCCCTGAGCCTTGATTGTGGATGCAAGTAAAATGAAGTCTTTGACAGCATCAATCTTGCCTCCATTTATCATATTACTTATTGGCCCAGTGGTGAGGATTTTCATTGACATGTAATCCATACTGAAGGCTGTAGTCTTGGATCTCCATCAGCAAGTGCTTCAAGTCCTCTTCACTTTCAGCAAGCAAGGTTGTGTTATCTGTATATCACAGGGGTTGATGATCCTTCCTCCAATCCTGATGATGCATTCTTCTTCATATAGTCTGGTTTCTGCTCTTATTTGCCCAGCATACAGATTAAATATGCATGGTTAAAGGATACAACCATGATGCACACCTTTCGTGCTTATAAATCCTGTAGTATCCCCTTGTACTGTTCAAATGATTTTTTCTTGGTCTATGAACAGGCGCTCTGCATGAGCACAAGTAAGTGTTTTGGAATTTCCACTGTTTACAATGTTACCCATAGTTCGTCATGATCCACACAGTCAAATAAATGCCTTTGCATAGGCAATGAAGTACAAGTAAGCTTCTTTCTTATGTTCTTTGCTTCCAGCACAAATTCATCTGAAGTAAAAAATGCTATTCCTTGTTCCATGTCCTCTTCAGAATCTAGCTTGAATTTCTAGCAGGTAGCTCCTTGTCACTGTGCTGCTGCAGCCATCTTTGAATTATCTTCAAAGTTTTGCTGATGTGTGATATTAATGATTTTGTTTTATTATTTCCACTTCTGTTGGATCACCTTTCTTTAGAATGGGTACAAATATGGATCTCTTCCGGTTTGTTGGCCAGGTAGCTGTCTTCCAAATTCCTTGGTATAAACTAGTAAGTACTTACAGTGCTAGATCAGTTTGTTGAAACATTTCAGTTTGTTTTCCATCAGTTCCTGGATCCTTGTTTTTCATCAATACTTTCAGTACAGCTTGGACTTCTTTCTTCAGTACCTTTGATTCTTGATCATATGGAACCTCCTGAAATGGCTGAATGTCCATCAGTTCTTTTGGGTACGGTGACAGTATTTTGTCCTGCGTCATTCAATATTTTGCACATTGATGTTGTTAGATGCCGTCGAGTTAGTACCAATTCATAGCAACCCTATGCACAA